CACACACACACACACCTTCTTCCACATGTGATCCAGCTGCAAGCCACTGTCTGACAGCTCTGACACTGTCGTCTGTCATCACTTTAGGATACCTGAGTCACACAAAATCGGAGGCAAAATTGACCTCAATATAATTGTGATTACAATTTTGCTTTTTTGATTAATAAAACAATCTGCTGTAATACTGATAAACATCACTGAGGTAAGCTATCATACATGTGAAGGGATTTAGGCTTATGATGTACAACATGAAAGAAAAAGCTGTTTCCTTTTGAAGTAAGATGATTGGCTGAATAACTGCTGATTTAAATACCAAGCGATAAAATTGTGACTATCGTTTTAGCCATTAGCATGCAGTCCAACAGAGTGCTTCTCCAAGGGTGTGTTAATCCTGATATCAGGTCAGCTTCTTCTAGCCTTTCTTTTCATCAACCAGGACACAGCAGTCAAACTGATCCTCAGTCAATGATCCTACTCTGATATGGATTAAAAGTGAATTAAGTGCTGTCAGACCTGTAGTGGAGCAGTTTCAGCAGTAGGTCATTTCCTCGGTTGGACATTATGTCCTCTGGTCCCCTGCATCAGAGCATAGTAAAACCATATTCAGTGTAAATCGTGTATTAATCCATTTGGGGGAAAAAAAAAAAACCACCACCACAATCTCAATCAGTACAGATTAAAGGAGTGTATGAGAGCTTACGTGGTTGTGATGATTTCATCCTTGGTTCTCCTGATCAACAGAACTGGTCCCTGGTACCTGCACAGAGCCACCAAATCAGCACAATCATGTCACACAAGTACACTTACAGTTTATAGGACTATACTATTATGATGTGTACAGGATCTTACTTGCAAAGCTGTTCTGCGTTGTTCAGGTTCATGTACTGCCTGACTGTGTGGGTCACCAGCGGTCCTGTTTCCCCATACACAAGCACAAATCAAGCATTGCTACATTACACTACTGCCTAACAGGATGTAGAGAAGATGACTGTCAGGACACTTACTCCAGCTGTCGGGCATGACCTTTAAGGCCAGGGGCAGGAGGTCATCAAAAGAGGCATCCAGAATCAGTGCACGGATCTCGGGGTATGACATCGCTGCCCAAGTGGCTAAAGCAAAGGTACACAGGGCACCAAAAAATCAAATAAATAAATCGAGCACACAATTACTTGTAATAAAATGATGATAGTCCAGGTTTGTGTTATACAGCACCTGTGTACAAAAAAAAATTGATAAATACAATCACAGGCCACTTTAATAGGAACAACTGTACACCTGCACATTCATGGAATTATCCAATCAGCTAATCACATAGCGGAATTCATAAAATCACGCGGATACAGTTAAAGCTTCAGATAATGTCCACATCAAACATCAGAATGGTGGGAAAAAGGTGTTCTCAGTGACTTTGACCGAAGGACAGTTGTTGGTGCCAGATGGGCTGGTTTGAGTATTTCAGAGCCTGCTGATCTCCTGGGATTTTCACACACAACAGTCTCTAGTCACAACAGTCAGCTTGGTGGGAAAAACGAAAAACATCCAGTGAGTGGCAGTTCTGTAGGCAAAAACACCTTGTTGATGAGAGAGGTCAGAGGAGAATGCCCAGACTCATTAGAGCTGACAGGAAGGCTAGGGTAAGTCAAATAACCACTCTTTACAACTGTGGTGAGCAGAAAAGCATCTCAGAACGCACAGCATGTTGAACCTTGAGGCGAATGGGCTACAACAGCAGACGACCACATCGTGTTCCACTACTGTCAGCCAAGAGCAAGAATCTGAGGCTACAGTTGGCACAAACTCACCCAAACTGGACAGCTGAAGATTGGAAAAAGACCAAGCGACAGGGTACAGGTGTTCCTATTAAAGTGGCAGCAAAGTGTACAGTTTTTTTTTTTTTTTTTTTAAATCTGCCTACCTGTAAAGCCCCCTATTGACCAGGCATACACAACAATGTCGCACAACTGGAAGCCCAATTTGTGCACAGCAAACTGGATCACTACATCCATCGCGTTCGCCTCGTTCTGAGGAAATGGTACACCCTGAAACAGATGCAAATATAGATATGTTAAATGTGAAACTGTTGCAATTTCACTACTGTATACTGACACCTGTTTTTTTTTTTTTTTTTTAATGGATGACTTGATGTAGATTGCAATGTTCTCTAACGGCGAGATAAGCATCAGTAAAGCATGGAAACTTGAAATTGCACATAAGGGCCTGGTTTGATAATCTGACCCTGTGATCAGTGATACTTACTGTACTGCCTGCGAACCCTGGGTGATTCCAGCCTAAGACTGAGTAGCCACCTGAGAAAGTGGTGAAGAGAGACAGGAAGGTACATCATTCAACTGTTTTCAGAAAGGTTTCTCTTGTGTGACTTTTTTTATTTTAGAATTGACCACATAAATGCTCACCATCCAGTGGAGTGTTCATGCAGCCAACCTCATAGAAGCCTGCGTTCCCTTCACAACAAATCACCTGTAACACACAATGCACTTTACACATCTACGCAATGAACCCTCCTTTGCTACCGTGGTAAGGAATAAGAAAAAAAAAACAATGGGATGTGCTGTTATAGGAAAATGATGAATGAAAGGTGGTCTCATTCAGTCAGACACGAAGAAGGGTTAGTTACCACCCACCCCCAAGTTGATTATTTTCCAATAACATGTCTCAGAGGGTTTTATTCCTCTTTCTCCACAGCAATTTGCCAACTATTTTTAAAGGTTTTTGGGTTGTCTGTGTGTCCAAGATTCTCGTTAACACAATATCTGAAGAACGAGTTGTTAAATGTTTGTAGGATTTATCTGGAATTTGTAGGAATTATCACTGTAACCAGCTGATGAACTGATCTGATTTTGGAACCGATCCAAACAGGGACAAGGTCACAGCAAGGTCAAATGTCTGAAATTGTTTTTCTGTAATAGCTCCCTTCCTGTTTGAAGTATATTTTAAGGATATTTAAAGCATACAAATTAGTAACAAAAATGACTAGGCGTCAGTTTTTATCAGTTTGCAGTTATGTTTAATGTTGCAGAATGTCTACAAAACAAGTTTGTTCCTGTCATCACTTATCAGTTCTTCTGCGAACAGCTGTTCCCTCATGAGCCTCTCTTTTTTTCACTCTGAAATTAGTCCAACAAAAAAATGCAACTTGTCATGTTACAGAGGAACTACAATGCTCTCCATCCTGAAGAAGTTATACCAGCTTTATCTCTGACTTGTCTCTGATTCTGACACTCTGAATATGCCATCCAGAAAAAGACAAAAGAAATAAACACACGTTTTTTTTTGTTTGTTTGTTTATGTGTAGCAGCCACCGCACAAATCCCTGTGAATTAGTTTTCAACCACAGAAATGATAATTTATTAGGATGAGTGCATTACCATAAATCTGTGATTCGCCTCGTCAGAGCTGCTGTTATTGAAAATGAATCAGTGACCAATTACATTTGAGAATTCAACAGCGCTATAGTACAAATAGTTTAACGCCACATATTATCTTTCGTCTCTCATTTGCTCTAGACTACTTACCAGAGTTTTCCCATTTGGGCCTCTGTTTCCTCTCCGATCCACAAACATGGTGTCGATTTTGTTTCCGTCACATGCCACCAGCTTGCTTCTCTGACCATCATACTAAAGCAAATAGAGAAGTTAAATAAACTTGCCTATATGCTGACAGTACTTTTTTTTTTTTTTTAACATGCATGTGTTTTCAAGTTACCTCTTCGATTAGCTTGGCCTGGCCCTGCTGCAGCATTGACCTCATGGCCTTCTGCAACAGACCCACAGAGCCTGGATACAGCATCCTCCGGCCAAACGAGTGAGCTACAATATAGCTGGAACCCAAACGCAACATACGTTTTTATGAACACAACATAAAACACTTAAACACTGAGTGTATCATGGTGAGCGGTTTCAGCAAATGTCAATCATTTTGTATGAAACTATTAACTTCACACCAAACCTGGACAGTATGCTTCAGTGTTACATGGACAAGTAAAGGCAAATTAAAACAGCCAAGGTCATAAGATACGGAAGACTACAGTGATATTACAGGAGTGCAGCATGATATATATATATATATATATATATATATATATATATATATATATTAAATCATATACACATACATATACACATACACACACACACACACACATATATATGGCAGAATTTCAAAATGTTATACTATATATAGTTCTGGAAACTACAGTTGTTCCTGAAATATGTTTGTTTTTCTTATCCAGAAGCACTAACGACTAACACCACTAGTTTTTTTTCTGGTTACCCCCAAAAGTGAAAAGGGGAAAAAATGCATTTAAAGATTCCAGCCATTTTCACTGTCAGTATCCGAATATAAACTGAATTGTTTAGACACGCAGCTACCCAACAACTTATTAAAAGCATGATATTTACTGTGTGAGGAATTCAAACCACAGCAAGGAAAACTTGATATTTGCCAGAAGTAGGTCAAAAGATTAAAAAATAAATAAAACGGCCCATGAGGGATTGAACAATGTTACAGGCAGGGGAAAAAACAATCTTGCTCAAAAACTGTTTGCCAGAATTTAGCCACAGTGTCATCTGACCTGTTTTCCCAGATCACCACACAATACTATATGATACAAGATAATATGTAATGTGCATGTGTTCAGCTGTCAGCCAAACATCACTGTTCAAATACTACTTACATTTTCTTACTACATACATTACTTACTTCTTACTACATACATTTACTTACTCATAGCCCAGTTCACATTGAAATGTTTACCATCCCATGTTGTATTTTCAGTCACCTAACTAACTCTGTTGAAACACTTGTTGGTCAAAGGCGCTGAATAAATCGCATGTCTATAACATCCATAATAACAAAAAGTATCAATTTTATTTCTAATGTCCCTAAAAGTGATATTACACATAGGCAGTTTATTTCCAAAGGTATTTGTTGGAATAAATCTTTTCCATGGTCACGTCTCAAGTGGGCATATAACACAACAGGCAGTGGTAGCTCAGCGATTAAGACATCGGACTATTAATCAGAAGGTTGTGAGTTCAAATCCCAGCTGCACCAAGCTACCAGTGTTGGGCCCATGAGCAAGGCCCAGTTGTTGAGATAAATGTAAGTCACCCTGCCATAAATGTAATGAATATAGTGCACTATGTAGGAGCTACAATGCTGTTAGGTTATCCTCTATAAAGTGAGCTTGTTAATATTGAAATGAATTCAAATACTAAACCATCTAAGTAGTTAAATTTCTAACCACAGACCTGCTATGTGTTATCTAATTATGTTACAATGCAGTACGTGTGCACATTACCTGACGACGTGGCATGGCAATGTTCGTACTGAATTCAGCAGACTGTCTGCTGCTCCTCTGTGCTTGGGCTCTGGCTTCAGCAGGGAAACTCCTGCCTTCGACAGCTTCCTGTCAACACAGGAACACCCCCATCATCAACCCCTAGATACATACATACATATACATATATACTGTATATATATATATATATATCTATATATCTATATATATATCTATATATCTATCTATCTATCTATCTATATATATATATATATATATATATATATATATATATATATATATACACACGGACACGGACACACACATATATACACAACTTACGGATTGCTGACTTCTCTCCAGCTGAAATCTGCTGGCCAGTGCGAGAAGTCGAAATCATAACTGGCAAGTTTTTTCTAAACAGGATGGAGCACAAACAGCGCCAGCAGAGGCATGATTACATCAGTGCTGATTGCATCAGGATGCTGGTCTCAGTAGGAATGTTGCTAGGACGTGGTCAGGACCTCACCTTGTTGCTGCTTGTGTGGTTCTTCTTGGTCTCCTCCAGAATGGTGATAAACTGGTGATACTCAGGGTTTCTCCAGCGACCCCAGCCTAGCAACAACCCAACAAAAACACAAACGCATGCTGCCAGTTACAGCTCTGGCTTCTTCTGGTGGCACAGGATAGCACCATAGATTTTTTTTTTTTTTTTTTTTTTAAATTGGGATAAGTGTTTCAGAATAAGTCATTTCTGATGAGGTACCACCTCTGTGAAAGATGTGCTGTGTTTTGCTTGTTACACTGCATTAGAGTATAAATGACTGATTTGAAGGGAGTTCAAATATATTTTAGGTGATAACGAACAGCTCACCTCTCAGACACGCTACTGTCAGTAAACAGACCAGCACCGTGCCAACGTACTGGCTGACAGGAATGAGCTTACTGCTGCAGATATAACCTGAAACAGAAACAAACGTTTGAAAACAAATACATCAACAATACAATATTTCACAAATTTAATGCAGAAATATCAGAATATCTTTTTCCTTATCCTTGCTATGTAGTAATTTGTCATCTCATAGTAACCAGAATTTGATAATCTCAAGCCATAATAAACCTAAATGACTGTTCAAGTTAGAAGTATACAGACGTTGTTACAAAGCAGCTTTACTGAAATCCAGACCTAGATCCTGATCCCTAATGAGCAAACCAGAGGCAACATTGTCAAGGAAAAATTCCCTGAGAAAACATGAGAAAGAAACCTTGAGAGGAACCAGACTCAAGATGGAACTCATCCTCTTCTGGGTGACGCTGTATAGTGTGATTATAAATCATTAAAGTATGCAGTTGTTGAGGAGTAAGGCAAAAATTCTAAGCGTGTTGAAAGGAAGTTTATGACTATATTGCGAATAAGAGTTCTCCAATGAGAACAGGACAGTCTTTATGATTACAGCAGCAGTTCTTAGAAGGAACAAGTCTAAAGTATCTAGGTGGGATTATCCACTGAAGCAAGCTTGACTTGAGCATGTTAATGGGGAGTGCAAATATTTCATAATGTGATACTAGTAAAAAGTATTGCAGTGTGTAGGGTCACACACAACTCATTTTGAAGACTGTACATTTTTCAAAACTGCCTGACATGTTGATTCCACAGGAAAATGTCATTGAACAGAGGGGGGGAAAAAACAGCTGGAAATGCCCCGAACTCTATACACCAAACTTAATTCCCCTGGTAAACCAGTGTAATAATGGGGCCTGAATTTGCATATGGGAGTCTGATTGGCTTTTAAATTTAATGACACAATAAAACTTGTCTGTCAAAAGCTAAATACAAACTCATATCTACCTTTGATATTTTCAACGCCCAAATGTTGCATTTTTCATACTTCAACCAAACAAATCCCCAAGCAAAGTAATCATTAAGTAATGATTAATTAATCATTCATAAATCAACTGACAACAGATGGTGTACACACTAATCCAAATAACTTCCAAGTGGTTACAGGCTTAATATGATTGCTCTGTGGTGGTAAATTAACTAATGAAACACTGTATTAAACACAAAATTACCATTAATTCACAGTAACTGCATACAAAAGTCCAGCTCTATTACATGTCCACAATACAACCACTGCACAACAACATTCTTTTAAAACCACTTAAACACAGGAGAATTTAATTTCATTCTCACAGAGAAACTCTTTCGTGTATACACCCACTTGATACGAGACACAAACAGCTTCAAGGAGGCCACTGCACACACACAACTTGCACTGAGGAATTTCCCCAAACAGAAGTACTACACACGTATAGCATTAGCATATGACTCAACTAGAATGATTAGACTTGATTAGACCACCATTATAATCAGCACTCATAGTTGGAGGCAAATGCAATCTATCGACTGTTCGCACAGCGAAGAAGCAATCAGGAGGCCACAACCCTTGATTATCTGACACAGGAGGTGGAACGGAACAAAAATGTGGAATGGTTGGGGTTCTCCAAGAACTGGATTTGGGACCTGAGCGTTAAGTGTATGAGCAAGCGGTTGTATACCTTTCCTGTAGAGATAGCAGAGAATGAGAGGCGAGCTGTAATAGGATAGGGACCACAGCACTGAAGCCTGGAGAGAAGAACAACACATTTTAATTACCTTCAGGACACACAAGTCTCTTGGGGCAAGTACATCAAGTTCCAGTCATGTGGCTTTTATTGTCATTCCTCTGTATAACTCATATATAATGGAACAAAATGTCATTTAATCAGGAATATGCAACACCACATAATACAACAGCACTACGTAGTATGTATGTAGTACACAGACTACATAAAGTGCAAATACACAAGCAAAAATATTTCATTCTATTTATGACATTTTGGCACATTCCCTTATCCACAGCGACTTACATTCATCTCATTTATACAACTGAGCAGTTAGGGTTAAGGGCCTTGCTCAAGGGCTCAGCAGTGCTGGGATTTGAACTCATGACCTTCTGATCAGAAGTCCAACGTCTTAACCACTAAGCTACCACTGCCACACATACAGCTTTTGGTAAAATAGCTATACATAAAAATATATAAGAAATACAATAGAGCTATACATAAAAATATATAAGAAATACAATAAACACTCATGATAATAAATATTCCAAACAGTGCCCAGTAAGCAGACAGGAAAAAAAAAACAAAAAACAGAAGAGTATTGGATAAAACATGACATATTGATATATTCTTGTAACTTGTAACAGCAATATTCTCAATCTTTTCCAGCTGTGACATGGCACGCACATCTTCATGTTTTCGTCTGATCTAAAACACCCGACACTACTCGAGTTGAATCTGGTTTGTTTGAGGAAATGGTACACTTTCCATGACATGCTACTGCAAGTCACTTACCCAACCAAGGATACTGTCAGTGTGTCTTTCCAAACCTCTTGGCTGGTAATCCCAACCCTGCAAGTGACAGCCACATACAAGTCAAACTGTTAGTTTTTTAATGCTATCATTTGGGGACAGACGTACAGTGGCTCTAGAGTGCAAAACACTTTAACAAACCAAAAATGCAACAGCAAATAAAGTAACACAACAGCAAAACCAAAAGCACAACAACAACAAAACCAGAAACACAACAACAGCAAAACCAAAAACACAACAACAAAATCAAAAGTACAACAAAATCAAAAGCACAACAAAACCAGAAACACAACAGCAAAATAATAAAAAAAAAACAATAAAACCAAAAACACAGCAAACTCAAAAGCACAACAACAGCAAAACCAGAAGCACAACAGCAAAATAATAAAAAAAAAAACAATAAAACCAAAAACACAGCAAACTCAAAAGCACAACAACAGCAAAACCAGAAGCACAACAGCAAAATCAAAAGCACAAGATCAAAAACAAAGCCAGAAACACAACAACAAATAACAAACAATAAAACCAAAAACACAACGCCAAAACCAAAAAACACAACAACAAAATCAAAAACACAACAACAGAATCTGTTGTGTTATTTTATGTGCTGTTGCAGTTTGTTAGTGTTTTGCACTTTAGGGCCACCGCACAGACTGCCTCAGTGTCTGAACTTCATGTACACAAATACTGTTTTGTGTAACACCTCAACCTTACAGTATAGACCCTGGAGCTCACATCCAGATGTTTCTCTGTGCAGCGGTTCTCAAACTGGGCTCCGTGAAGCACAATTAGGGTTATTGAGCTGGAAATCACAACTCACCATTATCAAAGATATTTATTATTGATTACTGTTGCTGGAATTGAAAGGATGAATTGAACTTGAACCTAATATGTTCTGTGTGGAAAGTTCAGGAATAAAAGTCTCTGTGGATATAATAAATAAACAGACTATTTAGAAATATTGATAAAAGAATGTACTTTACAGTTAAAGGGGTTCTTGGCTGTTACTGGATATATAACAGGTAAATATAGTGCACTGCATATTTGTGTAGAAGGAATTCTTCCACATCCAGTGTAGTGAACTTGTATAACAACTACAGAGCCAGTTAGAAACTTGTAGCAAACTCGCTATATTTTCTGCACAGGAACTGAAGTAATTCTTACACAATTCAACTTCCTGTGTTTATTTTCTACTCCTAACCCTAATAAATCCTCGCAATGTCAACGGGATGTTGTTTTGCATTGAAATTATGCTTAGAGGTCACTACGACATACCTTCAACCTTTACAACTGGCATTAGCATGCTAACTAGCTATACTGGCTATACCACACGTTCACAGTGTCTGAAACCGCATAC